GCCTCAGCCTCCCAAGTAGCTGGGACCACAGGTGCCTGCCACAATGCCTGGCCATTTTTTGGTTGCAGCCATCATTGTTGTTTGATGGGCCCAGGCCAGATTCGAACCCGCCACCTTAGGTGTATGTGGCTGGTGCCTTAGCCACTTGAGCCACAGGCGCCAAGCCGAGACTTTTTTGTTTAAATTAAAAAAATTTTTTTAGAGACAGGGTCTCCCTCTACCACCCAGGCTGGAGAGCAGTGGCATGATCACCGCAGCTGCCAACTGTTGCACTCAAGCCATCTTCCTGCCTCAGTCTTCCAAAGCACCCCTAAACTAAAACTCTGATTTGCAGGTCTCCACGGAGGGAGATGCAGGAAAATGTTGGGGTGGCACCTGTGGCTCAAAGGAGTAGGATGCCTGCCCCTATGCTGGAGGTGGTGGGTTCAAACCCAGCCCCGGCCAAAAACTGCAAAAAAATTGGACAAATTTAAAATGGCTAGAAAATGATATTACCCTTTCCAGTAGTCTTGAGGAATTTAGGTTCAAATCTCCTGGGGACCTTGAAGGCAAAAACTGGATAGCAGGACTAATAAAGACAGAAAAGCAAGCCAGGCACGGTGGCTCATGCCTGTAATCCTAGCACTCTGGGAGACTGAGGCAGGTAGATCTCTTGAGCTCAGGAGTTTGAGACCAGCCTGAGCAAGAGTAAGACTCCATCTCGACTACAAATATAAAACCTAGCTGGGTGTAGTGGCATATACCTGCAGTACCAGCTACTACTCGGGAGGCTGAGGCAAGAGGATCACTTGAGCCCAAGAGTTTGAGGTTGCTGTGAGTTGTGACACCATGGCACTCTATTGGGGTCAACAAAGTAAGACTCTGTCTCAAAAAAAAAAGAAAGGAAAAGCAGGTTAAGTGTGGACTGTCCCCTGGAAACACTGCTGTCTGCAGAAGACATGATTACAGGAATATTCCTGTACTAACTGAGCCAAAATCTTGAATACATTATATGTATCTGGGGAACATTGGGGTCTCATAAACAGCTGTGGTTGGAATTATAATTCCTGTGGCAGGGCTGGGCGTGGTGGCTCACGCCTCTAATCCCAGCACACTGGGAGGCTGAGGCAGGTAGATTGCCTGAGCTCACAGGTTAGAGACCAGACTGAAAAAGAACGGGACCCTGTCTCTAAAAATAGCTGGGTGTTTTGGCAGGTGCCTGTATACAGTCCCAGCTACTTGGGAGGCTGAAGCAAGAGAATTGCTTGAGTCCAGGAGTTTGAGGTTGCTATGAGCTATGATGCCAAGGCACTCTACCAAGGGTGACAAAGTAAGACTCTGTCTCAAAAAAAAAAAAAAAATATATATATATATAGACATATATGTGTATATATATATAGACATATATATAGATTTATATGTATATATATATATATCCTGTGGTGGGGAACAAGGAGGACAATGTATGTCTTAGAGTCAACAAATCAAGATGCATTTCTTTTAAGCCCCCTCCTTTTCTGTTGATCACCTGAGAAGTTGTGATCACCCTTTGGATGTTTTCTGCTTTGGGACCCAGAGAATAGTGGAGAATTTAGGAAGAGACTTTAAGTAAGATTTAACCTTATTTTAACTGCACAAAACAATTAAGCCTGACTTCATGATATATCAGAAATAAGAAACAGAAGTAAGGGCTGGGCGCTCATAGCTAAGTGGTTAGGGTGCTGGCCACATACACCGGGGCTGGTGGGTTCCAACCTGGTCGGGGCCTGCTAAACAAACAAACAAATAAAACAATAGCTGGTTGTTGTGGCAGGTGCCTGTAGTCCCAGCTACTTGGGAGGCTGAGGCAAGAGAATCACTTGAGCCCAAGAATTTGAGGTTGTTGTGAACTATGATGCTACAGAACTCTACAGAGGGTGACAAAGTGAGACTCTGTCTCAGTTTTAAAAAAAAGAATCTGGCCCAGTCAGCCAAAACAACAATGACAATTTCAGCAAAAAAATAGCTATTGTGGCAGGTGCCTGTAGTCCCAGCTACTTGGGAGGCTGAGGCAAGAGAATCTCTTGAGCCCAGGAGTTTGAGGTTGCTGTGAGCTGTGACAAAACAGCACTCTACCCAGGGTGACAGCTTGAGACTCTGTCTCAAAAAATA